AAGAACAGGCTGACGCAGTCACATCCTTCTTCCCGTCCTTCTTCCTGACTTTGGCAGCTATCACCTTGTGTTTAATGCTGTCAAGGTTGCTGGTTCGCATCCCCCCAATTTAAACAAAGCCCCACTACTCTTATTTGTCGATTCACCCGCTCGGCTCTTCTAAATAGCTTTTGTGAAGCTGCTGAAAACAAACAAAGCCTCCTGTGAGGGACCCCCGTGAGCCGTCTGCTGTATACATGTAGCCCCAGGCCAGCGCATAGGAGCGCCTTGCGCACAGCTGCCACCTCCTTATCACGGTTTATACAGTCGCAAAACAAAACCCTCTTCCCGGAGCTGGCAGACTCTCTGGGAAACAAAACACCTCCCGTCATTCTCTGAGCCAGAGCGCCCAACGTTAAGAAGGTGATGGATTAAGAAGATAATGTTCTCCTTTCTTATTGACTTTTGTTTTGTTTTCTCTGCTGTCAAAACTTCCTGCCAAAGGGAAGGCAGGCTTACAGAAAACGGCCCACGGATGGGACGCAAAGGTGGCCGAAGCCGGCAACAGGCCTGGACAGGAGCCAGACCTAGATTGCTGGTGTAGACGCGGTTGGTAAAATGCCAAGGAATGGATACTCTGGGGGCTTCTGATTAAGAAAACCGCTTCTTGGGCTGAGGAAAGCATCTCAATCATTAATGGACTCTCACTCTGTACGTGAGCGGGGAAGCCACTAGAAGGCCAGGTTGCCCTCAAAGTAGAAAGAGAACATAAGAACATAAGAGACGCCAATGTTGGATCAGGCCAAAGGCCCATCTAGTCCAACACTCTGTCACACAGTGGCCAAAAATACCAGGTGCCATCAGGAGGTCCACCAGTGGGGCCAGGACATTAGAAGCCCTCCCACTGTTGCCCCCCCCAAGCACCAAGAATAGAGAGCATCACTTGCCCCAGAGCCCCTATCTATACCTTGTGGCTAATAGCCACTGATGGACCTCTGCTCCATATGCCTAATAGAGAAGGCAGACAGTATTAGATGTTAATAGTCCAAGTCTGTTGATGCTTCATGAATGTAAGCTAAGAGTTAGGGGAAGGTCTCCTGGTAGTTAAGAATCTGTATTTTTGAATGAGAAGCCCCTTCATGTTTGGAGAAGGTCTCCTGACAGGAATATCTATATTTTTGAATGAGAACCTCACCAGAGTTGGAGAAGGTTTCCTGATAGCTTGGGATCTCTAGAATTTTTTAAAATGAGAAACTTATCAGAGTATGGAGAAGGTCACCTGATAGTTTGGAATCACTGTAATTTTGAATGAGAATCTCACCAGAGTTGGAGGTTTCCTGATAGTTAGGAATCTCTGTATTTTTGAATGAGAATCCCATTCTAGTTTGGAGAAGGCCTCCTGATGGGAATCTCTATATTTTTTTAATGAGAAACTCACCAGAGTTGGAGAAGGTTTCCTGATAGCTTGGAATCTCTATATCTTTTGAATGAGAAACTCATTCAAAAATATGGAGAAGGTCTCCTGATAGTTTGGAATGTCTGTATTTTTGAAGGAGAAGCTCACCAGAGTTGGAGGTTTCTGAATAGTAAATAATCTCTGTATTTTTGAAGGGGAAACCCATTCGTATTTGGCGAAGGTTTCCTGATAGTTGAGGACAACTCTGAATTTTTGAATAGGAGATCTGAGAGAAAGTTCAAGGGGGCATACGTATATGAAAAACAATAGTGTGCAGTTTTCAAGATAGGATCGAGTGTTTGAGCTGGAATTAGGAGGGGAGGTCTGTAAACTAGGGATGCAGCCCTGAAGGGTGCTGCCTAAATTGCTGTTTGGTATTACAAGTTGAAAACACTCAGTATATCTGGGGTTAAATGTTTGTTTATGTTACTCACAGGAAGTCACATGTTTCTCATGTAACCAATGTTCTTTAGATGGAGAAAGCCTGGGAATTTTCTCCCTGATCTAGGAATTTGGTTGGGACTAAAGTGTCAAGGTGTATTACCATTTTATGGCTTCTCTTCCCATCTTTGTTTGTTGCTCTGAAGAACAAGAAGAGTAGCCATACTCACTCTCTTCTAGTTTTGTCTTTGTAGAGTAAGGATGTAGCCAATTAGCTCTGTTGTTATTTTCATCCCAGTTACCCTTCTCCATGCTAGAATTTAGTAAAAACTTTATATTTTAATCACACATGGACTCTCAGTCTGAATTATTTTACTCTGGCTCTGCTGGGCTATCTTATCTCTGCTAAATACCATTTTTTCAATATCTCACTATCACCCAACAATTGCTCTCCGAGGACCGATTCTGTCCATATGAAGCTGCCAGAACATTAGTCCATCTAGCTCAGTATTGTCTACTCTGTTTGGCAGCAGCTGTCCAGAGCTACAGGAAGAGAAAAGTTCAGTGTGTGTGTGTGTGTGTGTGTGTGTGTGTGTGTGTGTGTGTGTGTGTTAAGTGCTGTCAAGTCGCTGCTGACCTGTGGGAGCCCTATGAATTAATAGCCTCCGAAACATCCCACAGTTAACAGCCTTGCTCAGGTCTTGACAACTGGGGGCCGTCAATCCCTCTCCTGCTGGGTCTCCCTCTCTCCCTGCTGCCTTCCACTTTTCCTAGCATTATTGTCTTTTCTAGTGACTCTCATCTTCTCATCATGTGACCAAAGTACGACAGCCTCAGTTTGGTCCTTTTAGCTTCAAGGGAGAGTTCAGGCTTCATTTGGTCTAGAATCAAGTCCCCGAAAGGTTAATTTTTGTGGTTCAGTCGCACAGTCGAGTCCGACTCGTCGCGACCCCATGGATCAGATCACGCCAGGCCTTCCTGTCTTCCGCCGTCCTCTGAAGTTTGCTCAACTTCATGTTCATTGCATCGATGACACTGTCTAACCATCTCATCCTTTGCCGTCACCGTCTTCTTTGACCTTCAGTCTTTCCCAGCATCAGGGTCTTCTCCAGTGAGTGCTCCCTTCTCATTGGGTGGCCAAAGTATTTGAGCTTCAGTTTCATTATCTGGCCTTCCAAGGAACAGTAAGGGTTGATTTCTTTTAGGATTGACTGATTTGATCTTCTTGCAGTCCAAGGGGCTCTCTGGAGTCTTCTCCAGCACCATAGTTCAAAAGAATCTATTCTTCGGCGCTCGGCCTTCCTTATAGTCCAACTCTCGCAGCCATACATGACTACTGGGAATACCATTGCTTAAAAGGTTAATTATATCCATAGTAAAAGGCCAATAACTTAAAACTATAATTATATCTTAAATATTATCAAAAATGCATGTATTTATTATCTTTTGTTAAAAACCAATTACGGACCCGAATGTAACCTCAATGCAGAATAAAAGTGTACAATATACACAAGTGGCCAGATGCATTTTGGCCAAAGTGGACTTCTTTAGCGGTCAAGCGATATTTGTACATATAGGCTCAATGATACAATAATAAGACAATGAGTTAATCAACATAGGACCAAAAAAAGGAGTTTTATAGTTACAATCAATTGACGCAAGGCCTGAGTATATTGGTGAGGCTCATAGCGTATCAGCCAGTTTGATGTAGTGATTAAGTGTGTGGACTCTAATCTGGGTTTGATTCCTCACTCCTCCACTTGCAGCTGCTGGATGACCTTGGGCAAGCCATAGTTCTGTCAGAGCCTTTCTCTCAAGGACAGTTCTCTCAGAACTCTCTCAGCCCCGCCTATCTCACAGGGTGTCTGTTGTGGGGAGGGGAAGGGAAAGGAGTTTGTAAACCACTCTGAGACTTCAAGTATAAATCCAATCTCCTCCTCCTCCTCCTCCTCCTCTTCTTCTTCTGGCATGATCAGGTATATATGTCCTGTGAATAATATTACTATTATGAACTTTCCTATTTTGGTCCAGAAGATACAATCAAATAGGAGCCAATGTACCAAAATGTGCAGTCAACACACATTTCGTATAAATAAATGGTTTACCGAAGCAGTATCATTGTGTTTGGATTAAGGGACAGTTTTAGGATTAAAGGAAAGAGGGGTTTTTGATCAATAAACATATTTATCCTTATGTTTACATTCTTCACTTGAATGTCAAGTCAGGGAAAACTTCATTATAGAATTCTCATTTTTCTCTATACTGAACACTGTGGGGAAGAAGTGAACCCCGATGGATGCCCATTGGCCCATGAAGGAATGACACCAGTGCTGCCAAGATCTTCCAAAAACTAGAGATGCTGGGAATGAACTATGCTTGCTCACTGAGCCACAGCCCCTATCCAGGGCTTTTTTTGTAGAAAGAGCCCAGCAGGAACTAATTAGCATAACAGACCACACCCAACAGCATACACTCATTAGCATATCAGGCCACACCCCCTGGTGGCACATTTCATTAGCATATTAGGTCACGCCCCCATGCCTTCCCTTGGCTGCGGGGAGCCCGGGCAAGCTGGCCCTTGGACAGGCTGGGGAAGGCACAGGGAGGGCTCCCCTGGCCTGCTTGCCTCAGAATGGCCGGGGGGGGGGGGGGTTGCTCCCCAGGCCTTCCCTCTGTAGCCAGGCCCCCAGGGGTTTTGGCTGTGGTGGGCGTGGCCAACTCTGAAGCCAGCCGGCACTCAGTTCCTGTGCGTTCCTGCCCAAAAACAGCCCTGCCCCTATCAATGCAAGAGAAGTTCTCGAACCCCCTGCTGTAACTCGACCCTGAACACCAATCCGTTTAAGTATAGCACTCTAATGTCAGAGATGGAGTATCAGACTTGCTGTCTGTCACCAGAGAAAGGTGGGCTGAGTATCCTTAACCCCATTTCTCTTTTCAGCGCTTCCTTTCTCCATCCCAACTTCCAGGTAGGGCTCTTTTTGTAGCAGGTACTCATTTGCATATTAAGCGACACACCCCTAAGGTAGCCAATCCTCCAAGAGCTTACAGAAGCCCCTGTAAGAAGAGCTCTGTAAGCTCTTGGAGGATTGGCTACATAAGGGGTGTGTGGCCTAATATGCAAAGGAGTTCCTGCTACAAAAACAGCCCTACGGCGATGATCATAATTCCGAGCAGCCAGACTTACCCATGCATGTGTCCCTCTGTTCCTCGTAGCCCGCGCTGCACACACATTTCCCAATGGGCACCAGCCATTCCCCTTCAGCGCTGCAGTACATTTTGGGGGTGTCTCTTTCTTCTGAGTGCCTGACGCACTCGCCCCGTACCTCCACCAGAGACGAGGAGTCCGCGCCCGTGACCGCTTGGGAGAAGGAAGCCAAGTTCCTCACCATGGCAGGGCACTTCTTGTAGTACACGCGGACGGAGACAATGGCGATGCAAGCCCCAATGTCTTGGAAGGCCAGGTAGAAGCCCCGCTTGCTGAGCGGCCCCACGCCACGCACCTCTGTATTGAGCTTCAGCCGCCGGACCCCCAAGTCCACGTTAGTGAAGCTCTCATCAGCCGCAATGGTGTCGATTTTCACAAACTGGCTGTCGCGGGTGGTGCTGCCCAGGTCGCGGTCCGACTGGAGGTAGTAGAGGTTGAAGGTCTCCTTGCAGGTGCCCAGCACCCCGGGCATGCTGTTGCAGTCCCGGAGAGTGAACCTGATCTCGGCATATACCCGGTGGGCCCCACGCCGCTGCACCCAGCTAGTCCGCAGCCAGTTGTTCTGGTTGGGAGACATGACGTTGCAGACCTGGTAAGTGTGGATGGGGTTGAAAAATTCGTCCACTTCGTTGATGGAGTCCCACTGCAAGGCAGAGAGAAAGAAGGGGGGGTTAATGTGTTAGGGACAGTTCCTATTGTCTGAGATCCGGCCCTGCTGAAACATGGGTTAGATCCAACCAGCTTTGGGGCTTCATCTCTGCCAATTCCCACCCTTATGACAAACCCCCTATCCCATGTGGCTTTTGTCCATGCAGGTTCCATGACCTCCAGCACAGCCAGTTTGCTTGTCAAATCCTCCTCCATTTTACCGCTGTTAAAAAAAAGAAATTGGTTGGATCCAACCCACTCTTCCCGCTTTATGTTTGGGGGAAGTCAAGGGGATGCCTTTTAGCTGCCTTGGGCCAACTAAGGAAAGGTGGGATATAAACACTGTGAAATCAATCAATCAGTTTCTTCTCCCTGGTTTGTCTCCGTGCCCTCTAGGGAGAGCACTGGCAGCTGTCCATCAAAGCCAAACAGTGCAAAGTGCAGAGAGGGGAAAACAAATCTGGGCAGATACATTTCAAGCCCATTAAGGGAAGCTCCAGCTCTGCTCCGACTTGACACGGACCTTGTTTCACATTCCAGGGATGACCTGTTTTTCATTACAGGCACGGAGCCGGCTACAGCTGCTCCGATAGTTTGGCAGGAGGGAGGGGGGACGATGCTTCCTATCTCATGCACACAAGGGTATTCCTGCAGCATGTTTTAGGACACGTGTGTCCACGGGTTGAAAGGCTATTGCTGCCCAAGTGTCTGTGAGCTGAATTCATTTATTCTGCAACGGCCTGTACTAATTTCGAAGCAAAGAGGGCACATAACTGTTGCTGCGTGTGTGATACCCTCATATGTGCGCATGGCGTAGCATGTGAGATGCAAGCTCGCAGGGTACCCTCTCCAGAACGGGGATTCACAAGCTAGCTAGGAGCTGAGCTGAGGAGGAGGATGCGGCAGCTAGCCGGGTCTATGTTAAGAGGAAGGCTGGGTGAGCTAGCTGGGGGTCTGTTTGAGATGGGGATGCGCAAGCTAGACGAGATCTGTGTTAAGGAAGAGATTGTGGAGGCAGGGTCGGCTCGAGGTGTTTCTGCACCCTAGGCAAGGCTGCCTTATGGCGCAGATGCCAACCTCCTGGTGGGGCCTGGGGACCTGGGGACCTCTGGAGCCAGCCACCCTTTTGCTGCTGCTGCCACCCCCTCCTCCCCCCCGCCACCAAAGGGGGTGGAGGAGGGGGGAGGCACAGCTTGGCGCCCCATCCAGGGCCTGGCGCTCTAGGCGAATGCCTAGTTCGCCTAGTGGGTGAGCCGGCCCTGTGTGCAGGAGAGCTGGCATCCGTGTTTGGAATGGAGACGTGCAAGCTAGCCGCTGTCTATGGTAGGAACTGAAATGCACAAGTTAGCTGCAAGAGTGTTAAGGATAAGGATGGGCATGCCAGCGGGGGGCTACGTTCAAGATAGGGTTCTGCAAGCTAGAAGAGATCTGTGTTAAGGAAGGGATTGTGCCGTCTATGTTAGAAACTGAAATGCACAAGATAGCTGCAGAAGGGTTAAGGATAAGGATGTGCAAGCTAGAGAGTGGCTATGTTCAAGATAGGGATGCGCGAGGTCGATGAGATCTGTGTTGAAGGAATTGTGCGAGCTAGCTGTGAAAGGAGAGGCACACCCAAACGTGCATCTCTTTGATAGCAAAGAACTGCTTCTATATTTGGAAATGCATCCCGTTATAAGTTATGGGCAGCATCCCAATTTGGGATGAGATCAACATTTGTATTCCGTCGCAGGCAAGAAATAGCACTTGTATTTGGGTGCCTGGTTGGATGAAGGCCCTGTTTACCCCCACGGTTTTTTAAAAATCAAGGATATCTGAAACAGCTCACAGATGTTTTACCAGGAGGCTTAATTAAAAAAAAATCCAAAACCTCCGTGAAAATTAACGGGGCAGGTTTGACGCATCCTTTCCCCATCCCAACGTTTCACAGCGTGTCTCTGTTTCTGGCTGCGAAGCAGTTCCTACGAAACATTCTCCTCTCATCCCATGTCATTGAGATAAAGTCCCCTAGCAAGATGAAAATGAGGACATCATAATTAATGCGGCAGGCGAGCGGGTTTGATTACATCTGTATTCAGGAAACTTGGCTAACAGTTTAAATTAAAGTCAACACAAGATTTCTTTTTCTTTTTTTTTTAAAGAACAGATTATAAAGGGATAAAGATGCAAATAATAGATATGAGTGTGGCTAAGCTTGGCCCACGTGGGGGAAAGAAGAAAGGAGGAGAAAGCTGCACGGAAGACCGCAAAGAGAAATCACTTTGCACACGGATAGGACTGCGCTGCCAGCTTCTATTGCTTCCAATTTACTTTCCATCAGGACAAATATTATCGGGGGTTGGGCTATTCTTGTGCAAGTTAGCTGGACCATGTATTAGGATGTGCAAGCAAGTGAGAGGTGATACCGAGAATGAGATTGTAGAAGCCAACCGGGGATGCTAAGAATGGGGAGGCAGAAAACTAGCCGGGGAATATTGAGAACGGAGATGCAGAAGCAACCAGGGATACTAAGAATGAGGATGCAGAAGCTAGCTGGGGGATATTGAGAATGGGGATTCAGACGCTAAACGGGAGGTATTGAAAACGGGGATACAGAAGGCAGTTGGTGGATACTGAGAACAGAGATATAGAAGCCAGTTGAGGGATACTGAGAACAGTGATGCAGAAGCCAGCTGGGAACTATTGAGAACAGAAATGCAGAAGCCAACTGGGGAATATTGAGAACAGTAATGCAGAAGCCAGCTGGGAACGATTGAGAACAGAAATGCAGAAGCCAGCTGGGAACGATTGAGAACAGAAATGCAGAAGCCAGCTGGGGAATATTGAGAACAGAAATGCAGAAGCCAGCTGGGAACGATTGAGAACAGAAATGCAGAAGCCAGCTGGGGAATATTGAGAACAGTAATGCAGAAGCCAGCTGGGAACGATTGAGAACAGAAATGCAGAAGCCAGCTGGGGAATATTGAGAACAGTAATGCAGAAGCCAGCTGGGAACGATTGAGAACAGAAATGCAGAAGCCAGCTGGGGAATATTGAGAACAGAAATGCAGAAGCCAGCTGGGAACGATTGAGAACAGAAATGCAGAAGCCAGCTGGGGAATATTGAGAACAGTAATGCAGAAGCCAGCTGGGGAATATTGAGAACAAGGAACTAAAAACTAACTAAAAATGTTAAACATGAGAATGCTGAAGTCAGCTGGGTGATACTGAGAATGGGAATGCGCACACAGCAGGGGATGTTAAGAATGGGGATGAACGAGCAAATTGTGGAATATTGAGTATGGGGATGTGCAAGCTAGTTAGGGGATGTTAAGAATGGTGGTATATAAGATAGCTGGGGTAGCTTACATGGCCAAAAGAGCTATGGTTAGACAGACCTGTGCCAAAGAGGAGAGAATGCCACAGGGTTGCCCTGAGCTGCCTTCCAAAGGACTCTCAGTCTCTGCTACCATCACCTAGAGCGAGAAGGCAGGATACAATTGCTGCTACACCACAGCGACGACCCCTCCCAACATCACCGGGGCCTCAGCAGCCACTCAGTATTGTCTAATCCTGATACTGAGTATGAGATGCTTGCTTTATTGGTGTGGGGGAATGGGTGTCAGTAGAGAAGCGTCCAGACACCGGGGCCTCAGCAGCCACTCAGTATTGCCTAATCCTGATACTGACTATGAGATGCTTGTTTTATTGGTGTGGGGGAATGGGTTTCAGTAGAGAAGCGTCCAGGCATGTGACGTAACCCCCTCAGCATTTCAAAGATAAAAACAGGGACATGCCTACCAAACACCAGTTATTATACCGAAAGATCACAGCCCGAGCAGTACGAAGTGGAACACCTGGGGCTTAAGTAAGGTTGCCAAATCGGGGTTGAGAAATGCCTGGAGATTTGGGGGGTGGAGCCTGAGGAGGGCGGGGTTTGGGGGAGGGGAAGGACTCCAATGGGGCGTAATGCCCTAGAGCCCACCTTCCAAAGGGGCCATTTTCTCCATGGGAACTGACCTATGTCAACTGGAGATCAGTTGTAATCCCAGGAGATCTCCAGCGACCACCTGAAGGCTGGCTACCCGAGGCTCAGGCCAAGGTAAAGGTAAAGGTAAAGGTTCCCTTGCTCGAAAGCCAGTCAAATCCGACTCTAGGGTTGTGGTGCTCATCTCCATTTCGAAGCCGAAGAGCCAGCGCTGTCCGAAGACGTTTCCGTGGTCATGTGGCCGGCATGACTAAACACCAAGGTGCACGGAACGCTGTGACCTTCCCACTAAAGCGGTACCTATTTATCTACTTGCAATTTCTTTCTCTTGAACTGCTAGGTTGGCAGGAGCTGGGGCCAGAGACGGGAGCTCACTCCATCACGTGGCACTCGGGTCTCGAATTGTCGAACTACAGACCTTCCACAGCCTGCAGTTCAGCGTCTTAACCACTTGAGCCAAGGACCTCAGTACAAAATGATCCTTTTATTTCTTTCAGTTTTCCCTTCAGCTCTACCTGCTGAATATAGCTCTCCCTCTATGACCATCTTAGGACCGGTGGGCTAGTTTCCTGCTTGGAGTTCCCTCCTCAAAAATAATTGAATAATGAAGGGATGTGGCCAGGTGGTGGGTCTCACGCTGAACAGGCAATGGGTCTGCAGCATCTCCTGGATAGCAGATGTCGGGAGAAAAGACCTGGGTCAGTGTAAGGTGGGTCCTTACTTTCATGTCTGAGTCGGTTAACAGTATGTGTAAAGGTAAAGGTAAAGGTTCCCTTGCTCGAAAGCCAGTCGAGTCCGACTCTAGGGTTGCGGTGCTCATCTCCGTTTCAAAGCCGAAGAGCCAGCGCTGTCCGAAGACGTTTCCGTGGTCATGTGGCCAGCATGACTAAACACCAAGGCGCACGGAACGCTGTTACCTTCCCACCAAAGTGGTACCTATTTATCTACTTGCAATTTCTTGCTTTCGAACTGCTAGGTTGGCAGGAGCTGGAACTAGAGATGGGAGCTCACTCCGTCATGCGGCACACTCGGGTCTTGAACTGCTGAACTACTGACCTTCCACAGCCTGCAGTTCAGCGTCTTAAACAATTGAGCCACCGCAGCTCCCAAACAATCATACATTATGTATAAATTGCAAATATACATAATATCTCGAATTGTCGAACTACACTCGGGTCTCAGCCTGCAGTTCAGCGTCTTAACCACTTGAGCCACCGCAGCGTCTTAACCACTTGAGCCAAGGACCTCAGTACAAAATGATCCTTTTATTTCTTTCAGTTCTCCCTTCAGCTCTACCTGCTGAATATAGCTCTCCCTCTATGACCATCTTAGGACCGGTGGGCTAGTTTCCTGCTTGGAGTTCCCTCCTCAAAAATAATTGAATAATGAAGGGATGTGGCCAGGTGGTGGGTCTCACGCTGAACAGGCAATGGGTCTGTGGCATCTCCTGGATAGCAGATATCGGGAGAAAAGACCTGGGTCAGTGTAAGGTGGGCCCTTACTTTCATGTCTGAGTTGGTTAACAGTATGTGTAAAGGTAAAGGTAAAGGTTCCCTTGCTCGAAAGCCAGTCAAGTCCGACTTTAGGGTTGCGGTGCTCATCTCCGTTTCAAAGCCGAAGAGCCAGCGCTGTCCGAAGACGTTTCCGTGGTCATGTGGCCAGCATGACTAGACACCAAGGCGCCCAGAACGCTGTCACCTTCCCACCAAAGTGGTACCTATTTATCTACTTGCAATTTCTTGCTTTCAAACTGCTAGGTTGGCAGGAGCTGGGGCCAGAGACGGAAGCTCACTCCGTCATGTGGCACACTCGGGCCTCGGACTGCTGAACTACTGACCTTCCATAGCCTGCAGTTCAGCATCTTAACCACTTGAGCCATTGCAGCTCCTAACAGTATGAGTACTACTCCTTTAATTACATCTGCATAAATTGACACATAAAATTGAAACAGTGCTTCTATATGGGGGGAAGCCACAGATCCTTTTCTTGTTTTCAGATGAGGAACACAATTACTGCAGCAGAGACCGTCTCAAGGGTTTCTCTACGTATGTAAGGGGCGGGGCTTTTTAAAAATGGCATTAGCCATCAACCTTCTTGTAGGAGCGGTGGCGCAGTGGGTAAATCCCCCGCGTAACTATAACATCTGAATTGCCAAGCTTTGTTAGTTCTATAGGCAAAAAGTGAAGGGATGCCAGCTTTTATATGCAAATCTACAAGGGGTTTTTCTCCAGAGTTCAAAGCTCTGGCAAAAGGCTTTGCACAATAGTAATTAAAATTTACAGTGCATTAAAACCCTTTCAAATGGCCAGCACTTGTTGGATAGTAATGTCATTGTATCTCTGGAATTCAACATTTTATGCCTAAAATACATTAAAATCTATAAAGATGAGTATTTTAATGCTGTTGGAGGAGCACATATTTCTGTACTGGGAATTGCTACCTCACTTCAATATGTTTTACATTTATTTGCTGAAGGATACAACATGTGTGTGTTATTACACTGGTTTCATTCTTGGATGATTTCCCCTTTGGCAGAGCAGTGACACTTTTTCATTGGTTATTAAGAACATAAGAACATAAGAGAGAACATAAGAGACGCCAATGTTGGATCAGGCCAAAGGCCCATCCAGTCCAACACTCTGTGTCACACAGTGGCCAGAAATACCAGTGCCATCAGGAGGTCCAGCAGTGGGGCCAGGACATTAGAAGCCCTCCCACTGTTGACCCCCCCCCCAAGCACCAAGAAGACAGAGCATCACTTGCCCCAGAGCCCCTAGCTATACCTTGTGGCTAATAGCCACTGATGGACCTCTGCTCCATATGCTTATCTAATTCCCTTTTGAAGCCGTCCATGCTTGTAGCACCCACCACTTCCTGTGGCAGTGAATTCCATGTGTTAATCACTCTTTGGGTGAAGAAGTACTTCCTTTTATCCGTTCTAACCCGACCGCTCAGCAATTTCATGGAGTGCCCACGGGTTCTTGTATTGTGAGAAAGGGAGAAAAGTACCTCTTTCTCTACCTGCTCTTTCCCATGCATAATCTTATAAACCTCGATCATGTCACCCCTCAGTCGTCTTTTCTCCAAGCTAAAGAGCCCTAAGCGCTTTAACCTTTCCTCATAGGGAAAGTGTTCCAACCCTTTTATCATTCGAGTTGCCCTTTTCTGCACTTTTTCCAAAGCTATAATATCCTTTTTAAGGTGTGGTGCCCAGAACTGCACACAGTATTCCAAATGAGGTCTCACCATTGATTTATATAGGGGCATTATTATATTGGCTGATCTGTTTTCAATACCCTTCCTAATAATCCCCAGCATAGCATTGGCCTTCTTTATTGCAGTCACACACTGTCTCGACATTTTCAGTGAGTTATCTACTACAACTCCAAGATCTCTCTCTTGATCTGTCTCTGCCAGTTCAGACCCCATCAATGTGTATTTATATTTAGGATTTTTGGCTCCAATGTGCATCACCTTGCACTTGGCCACATTGAACCCCATTTGCCATGTTGACGCCCACTCGCCCAACTTTGACAGATCCCTTTGGAGTGCCTCACAATCCTCACTGGTTTTCACCACCCTGAACAACTTCGTATCATCCGCAGATTTAGCCACTTCACTGCTTACTCCCAACTCCAAATCATTAATGAACAAGTTAAAAAGCAGTGGACCAAGTACTGATCCCTGTGGTACCCCACTGCTTACCCCCCTCCACTGGGAGAACTGCCCATTTATACTCACTCTCTGTTTTCTATTAATTAGCCAGTTTTTGATCCATAAAAGGACTTGTCCTTTTATCCCATGATTTTTGAGCTTACTTAGGAGCCTTTGATGAGGAACTTTATCAAAAGCTTTCTGGAAGTCAAGGTAAACAATATCTATTGGATCCCCCTTGTCCACATGTTTGTTCACCCCCTCAAAGAACACTAACAGGTTAGTGAGACAAGATATACTAGTTTTTTACTCCGTATCTTCGGCTAGAAGCCACAGGTTAGCCACGGGTGCACTACACTTCCCAGATGTTGCGGTGTGATCGCGCCCGGAAAATCCGCCTATCATCTGTATCTTTAGTGCGGCAAATGCTCCGTGTGAACGGGGCCTGTGTTTCTTTTCTGGTTATTCTGAGGGGAAAGCTCTAAGCTAGAGAAGAAACACAAAAGGTCTTTCAGATGAAAGTGTTTCCAACTGAAAATAACCCCAAATCCCTTGACAGAAAGGCAGCACGTAAACACAGCAAATGTGCAAAGAATGGACACAAGAAACGTGGGAAATGCCAACTCACTCCCAGCTCTGCAGTCTCTTTGCCAACAGCCTCCTTGTACTTACTCCGTGCGAAGGATAGGTGAGCCAGCCCCAGTCCCCGATGATGGTGGACGTGTCCAGCAAGTTTACTGCAAAACACAGAAGGAAAGCATGTTTTATACAGATTTTTAAAAAATGGTGAGCATAGACTTCCTACACCGCTGGGTCATGTTCATAACAAAAACACATTGGTCAGAGACAGTAAGGGACAAGCACTCTCCCAAAGGCTCAATTTTTTGTGTGCAAGTTTCCTTCTTAAACACAAAAAAGATGCTTCATGCACATTTGCAAGGGTTTGGTTGGACGTTTGGCAAACACATGTGTAAGTACATCATTTCAGCCTCTGGTGTGGAGGCTATCGTTGGCTGTGTGGCCAGAGGGTAGGGCAGACGGTCTCCCGGTATACTGAGCAACATCAGCCCAACCCTTTGTCAAACTGTATGGTGGGAGAGAGGGAAGTGAAGTCTGTGGGCATCTCTCCATGCCGTGCTCTGTGCACGCTCCGATAAACAGAGCTGTGTGCAATACTGGCCGAGTTTATAGCAGGGAGGTGTTGCCCAGAAATGGCAGTGGCCAGCAGAGATGCCCCTAAGGTAACCCGCACTAAAAGTAAAAGTTTAATCATGGACCAGCTATGAATAAAATGAGTTAACTCACATTTTGGTATCTTGTGTCCATTTAGTACCCATGCTCAGGGTAGGACAGTCCCCCCTCCAGAGTGCCTGTTCCCCAACACCATTTGGAATAGCAGTGAGAGGGAAATGTAAATAAATTTTAAAAATGTAAAAAATCAGCAGAGCAGACGTGATGGTGTCACTTCTGGGGGATAACTAGAAGCAATGGTGGTAGCTCTAGGAATTGCCAGGATCTCTATGGTAAAACCATTGAGTTCTCAGCAATTCCTAGAGCTACCACCATCAGTTCTGTGTCTTCCCAGGAAGTGATGTAATTACACTGGTGACACCACCCCTCACACCATGTCCCCAATCCGCTGTCCTACCACTGTTTGCCAGCGCCAGGGGCAAACAACACTTGTCAATTGAAGACGGGCTTGACGGGGGGGGAACTGAGCCGTTGGAAAAATTAACAAAATTAATTAATAAAGAAGATTTGATTTACATTTGAACTGTTGACCTTCCGTATCAGAGCTTTCTCTGTTCTCGTAGCTGCTAGGTTACACCAGCTCAATAGCTAAGCGGAGTCCTGTTCGGTGACACTCTTCAAATCAAAAGTCATAATGGGGATCTAAACTCTGGAGCACTCAGGGAACTTGGTCGGCTGTGTCTTCAGGACAGATCTCAAAACTTGCATTTCCCCCCCTGCGCAATGCATAATGAATTTATGGAATTTGCTGAATCCAGGTAGCCAGTGGTTTAGAAAGGCTTGAGGAGGGGAACAGAGAAATCCATGCAGGCAGCTGTGAGCCACGGGGCCTAAATGGAACCTTCGCGATCAGAGGCAGCGTAGCTCCCAATGTCATTTGCTGAGGATTAACCGCAGGCGAGGACCGACGTCTTTATGCTCTGCTTATGGATTTCCCTGAAACATTTGTCAGTCCCTGCTGGAGAGAGAATGCTGGGCCAGATGGATTTTTTTTTGTCCAATCCAGATGTACATAATACCATAAAAAGAGCCCTGCTGGATCAGACCAATAGTCCATCTAGTCCTGCATCGCGTCTCACACAGTGGCTACCGGTAACCAGTTCCTCTGGACAGCCAACAACAGGGCATAGAGGCTGAGAACTTCCCCGATGTGGCCTCCTGGCTCTGCAATTCAGAAGATCAGTGCCTCTGAATGTGGAGGTTCCCCTCAGCCACCATGGCCAGAAGCCATTGAAAGACTTACCCCTTTTAAAGCTGTCTATTCCTGTGGCCATCATTACATCCTCTGGCAGCAAATTCCACATTTGAATCACTCTGTGTAAAGTAGTATTTCCTTTTGTCCATCCTGAACCTACGGACCATCAGCTTCACACGAAGCCAGCTAGGTGACCTTGGGTCAGTCACAGTTCTCTCAGAGCTCTCTCAGCCCCACCTACCTCACAGGGTGTCTGTTGTGGGGAGAGGAAGGGAAGGCGATTGTAAGCCACTCTGAGACTTCTTTGGGTAGTGAAAAGCAGGGTATAAAAACCAACTCCTGTGCTGCTGATTCTTCTTCTTCCTCTTCATTTGGATGCCCTATTTATATTTTTCTTAGGTTCTGATGTTATTCAAAGCAAAACGAACTGCTCATCAATAGATGCAGATGGAGGTTTGGATTCACACACTCCTAGCCTGGGTGAGCCTTGGGCAAGCTACATTGAACCAGAGTAGTGTAGTGCCCAGTGTATGGTTGCCAGGTCTGGGTTGGAAAATACCTGGAGACTTTGGGGGTGGAGCCAGGAGAGGGTGGGGTTTGTGGAGGGGAGGGGCCTCAGTATGGTACAGTGCCGTAGAGTCCACCCTTCAAAGCAGCCATTTTCTCCAGGGGAGCTGATCTCTGTCAGCTGGAGACCAGTTGGAAAAGCAGGAGGTCTCCAGGCCCCACCTGGAGGCTGGCAACCCTAGCCCAGAGTGCTGGACCAGGACCTGGGAGAGACCCTTTCCTTTTATTATGATGCTCCTCTGATGAAAGGCCTTGAGCATAGTCAAAAACAAATACGAGACACAATACAAAACAATAAACATTAAAATGCATCTTGGTGAATTAAAGCCCATCTCTGTACTGGCATAGAGAAACCAGAAGTGCTAGAAATTTGCCAACGGAACGCGTTGTTTCCAGATTGGTGCCTGCCAGTAAAAAAGAGATCACGCGGGAATCAACAAACAGCTGATATTTACTCAGGACAGGTATAATCCACAGGTCTCTGAGTGGTGTTGATTAATCACGGAATAAGAAAAGGTGATCTTAGACAGTGTTCCCGCTAAGCTGAGTTAGTGTGAGCTAGGTCACCGTTTTTTAGCCTCCGGCTCCAAGGGTCATTTCGTAGAAAAAGAGGTGCAGGAGCTCATTAGCATAACTCATTAGCATAACTCATTTGCATATGTCACACCCCCTGAGATCACCGGAGGTGTGTCCGAAGGCAACACCCACCGCTCAGGCTCCACTGGACTGTTTTGTATTGCTACCTACTGGGGGGGGGACGTGCAGATCTGCCCTCACAGAGGAGGGAGAGCTTGTAGCTGAATAAAACTTGGTCTTAAAGGTGCCACTGGACTCTTTTGGACCGGGGGCGGCGGCGGGGGGAGCTCTGCAGCTTACCTGGCTGCTTCTTGCTCTGACTGAGGGCTGCTGGGAGCAGGGGGCGGGGCTTGTTGCATGTGCCCGCCCCCTGGGCTCTTTACTGCCGGAGCTCCGCTCCTGTGTGCTCCAGCAGGAAATGACCCCTGTCCGGCTCACACATTTTTGTCTTAGCTCACAAAGGATGGCTCCAGAGCAAACTAATTGATGCAGTAGCCAAATCGCTCGCTCACAGCTTTAATGCCAGTAGCTCACAAAGTAGAATTTTTGCTTACAAGACTCCACAGCTTAGAGGGAGCATTGATCTTAGAATCATAGAATCATAGAGCTGGAAGGGACCTCCAGGGTCATCTAGTCCATTGCTCTGCACAATGCAGGAAATTAACAAATACCTCCCCCCCACACACCCCTAGTGACCCCTGTTCCATGCCCAGAAGATGACAAAAAAACTCCCAGGATCCCTGGCCAAAATGGCCTGGAGAAAAATTGCTTCCTGACCCCAAAGTGGTGGTTGGCATTTCCCTGGGCGTGTACGAAAGGGCCACAAGAACTAAGCACTGAGGCAGCTCTTCCCGCCCTCCCTCTCATGATCTGCCCAAGTCCACAGGATCAGCTTTGCTGGCAGATGGCCATCTAGCCTCTGTTAGAAAACCTCCAAATAAGAAGAGCCCACCTCTTATTCCAGAGGCAAAGCAGGAATTGTGGTCAGGATATGGCGTTTGGGTGAAGCGCCCCCTGAGCACTGCAGCTGGTGGGACACACATGAAGCTGCCTTGGACCAAATCAGACCCTCGGTCCATCAAGTTCAGTCTTGTCTACTCAGACTGGCAGCAGCTCTCCAGGGTCTCAGGCAGGCAGAGGTCTTTCACCTCATCGACTGCTAGATCCAGGAACTGGACATGGCAAGGATTGAACCTGGGACCTCCTGCAGTGCATGCCAAGCCAGATGCTCTACCACCAAGTCACAGGCAATGCTCCCTCTAAGCTGTGGAGGCTCGTGAGCAAAAATTCTACTTGGTGAGCCACTGGCATTACAGTTGTGAGCGAGCCATTTGGCTCCTGCATAAATTAGTTTGCTCTGGAGCCATCCCTCCCTGAGCGAAGACAAAAATGTGTGAGCCGGAGGCTAAAAAACTGTGAGCTGGCTCACACGAACTCAGCTTAGAGGGGACACTGGTCACAGTTCCTCCCCTAACCTTCAGTCTGCCTAACATAAAGGCTCACCTGTGGCCAGAAGTTGTCTGGAGGCTTAGATATTAGGGGAAGGGTCAAAGGGGGGGGAGCTCCACTTTGGACGAGGATATGGGAGTGTCAGACTAGGATCTGGGAGACCCAAGTTCGAATTCTGACTCTCCCGTGGAAGCTTGGTGGGTGACCTTGGGCTGTTCACACACTCTCAGCCTAACCTGCCTCACAGGGTTGTTGTGAGGATACAACACAGGAGAAGAGAACAATGTAAGCTGCTTTGGGTCCCTGCTAGGGAGAAAGGCAAGGAGTTAAAACAAATAAATATCAATCCGTACTGTCCTGTGATCAGGCAGAGGCAGGGGGCGGCGATAAGCCAACAACCGTGGTCTGTGCAACAAAACCAGTCTGTATTCACTGATGTTTGAAATCCTAATTCTGTGCCTACTGACTTCTCTGGGGCCCAGAGCAGGGCGTGCAATGTTTCCCTTCCAATCTGCTTATTCCAACCTGCAGGGCCACAGTGGTGTAGTGGTTAAAGTGCCGGAGTAGGATCCGGGAAACCCAGGTTCGAATCCCCACTCTGCCATGGAAGCTTGCTGGGTGACCTTGGGCCAGTCACACACTCTCAGCTTAACCTACCTCACAGGGCTGTCGTGTGGAAAAAATGGAGAAGAGAATAAT